TCTGCCCCTGCTCTGGGCCCTGCAGCTTCCCGCCCTGTGGCCTCAGCAAGGCTCTGCCCCTCCCTCCAGAATAGGGGTGCTGCCCCCCACCCTGGCCCCAGGCTCCCAGCCAGGGCACCTCCTCCCCGGGGCGGAAAGCACCTCCTACTCACCGCCGCCGCCCGCTCCCTCCGCTTCCTGCAGGCTCCTCCCCATTAGAGCCAGCCCCGCCCCCTCAGGCTCCTCCCCCAGCGAGCCCCACCCCCTCCTGCAGGCTCCTCCCTGCGAGAGCCAGCCCCGCCTCCCACAGGCTCCTCCCCACGAGAGCGAGCCCCCCCACTCCTGCCGGCTCCTGGACCAGAACCTGGCCCATCATTTCCTCCCCGCCCGACTGGCCCCTTCCCGGCAGCTAACCGACACACGCAGTCTCTGTAAAAGCGGACCCGACACCCCTCCCGTAGCAGTGCGTCCTCTCCAGCTGCCACTCTGGCTTCCTGCAACCAAACGCGTTAGCCCCAAGACTGGTCTCACTCCCCGTCTCACTCCACCACTGCCCTGCAACTGCCCTGCCCAGTGGAGGAGGGGCACGGGGACCCTGCCCCAGCCCAATGCCCATGACCCATGTCTCCAGCTCCTCGACCTCCTGGGCCTCCTGGGCCTCCTGGGTCTCCTCTGGCCTCCCTGACTGTTCCTTCTCCTATGGGGGTCTGCCGTGTCTCTCCTCTCAACCACCGCCACCCCACCAGGGGCCTCTGCAGCCCAGGCCTGGAGACAGCTGTGTTCCGCCCTGCCCTCCCCTGCCAGACCTCAGGCTCTGCAAACTGACCTGGTGATCACGCCCCCCTCCGGCTCCTCCTGGGGCTTCAGTCTGAATGGCACTCCCAGCCCCTGAGCTACCGGGGCCGCAGGAAGACTCCAGCCCCCTCTGCAGACAGCACCTCCATCCCAACCGGTGACCAAGTCTGGGCAATTTCACTGCTCGACTCCCTCATGCACAGTCCTTCCTGTCCTGGCTCTCGTCTTGCCCGGTTAGGTCATCACCAAGCTGGGGCGCACAGCTTCCCACTGGGACTGCCGTACTCCATGGATCCACGTCCTCTCGCTGACGACCTTGTCCTGGAGACAGCGGGGTGCACGCTGCCGTTTCCCTCTCCAGGCCTTGGTTTGTTTTGTGGTGTTTTGCACGAACTCTAATGCACGAAAACCCTTTGTTGTGGGCTCTATTATCAGCCCATTTTGCAGAAAGGAAATTGACTAAGAGGGATTAAGTAATTCCCTTAAGGTCACCAGAGACACGAAAATGTGACAAAGAGCCTGATTTGAACCCACACCTGGCTACCCAACAGTCCACATTCCCTGCGACCCGCTACCCTGCCTTCTGGGTGGAACCAGAGACCTTAGCGGGAGCCATGGCTTTGCTCAAGGGCGGTCACGTCCTCGGGAGCAAAGGTGATTCCGGGGTTCCCAGCGCCGAGCACTGGGCTCCTGTGCCAGATGCGGCACAGAGTGGACCCCACTGTGTGTGTGGCCAGTGCAAGAGCGGGGGACAAGAAGGAGTCTGGTGCGTTGGTGCCAGTGGCCTCTAATAGCAGGGCTGCAGCCCCAGGACGGGGACAGGCGCTGCTGGGGGCTGGGGGGTGACGCCAGACCGGGTCCGGGCTCCCCCAGGGAGAGTGCTATTGTCGGAGTTTTGGTAAATAAATGAAACGCCTTGTTTTTATGTGTGCATTTCTTTCCAGGTTACGCTGGCCTGAGGTTACAGATGCCTGAGGCTCTGAACACTCCCTGCCCCCGCAAGCCAAGCTGAAGAACCTGAGGAGAAATGGGGCGGCCGTCTTCCAACGACAGAGCTGCCCTGTGGGAGCCCCGGGCCCCCACCCCCCTGCTCGGGGCGGAGCAGATGTTCCCGCAAGGCCCCCTTCCCCTCCGTGGAGGGCAGACTTTCCAAGAACCCATGCTGCCCATCACGGAGAGCCACCCTTCGCCAGCAGAGAGCTCCCCTCGACGGGCAGAGAGCCCCCCTCGGTGGGCCTTCCAAGCCTGAGGCTCCATGACAGGAAGCCAAAGTTGGGCTAAGAGCTACCCTGTTTCAGAATTGTGTCTCCCTCGAAGACACAAGCCATCCCGACTGACAGGAGGGGAAGGAGTCCAGAAGGCAACCCAGCTTCCCACGTGCCAGGGCGGGGCCCGGATACGAATGTCCAGGGCAGGGAGGGCGGTGCCCACAGGGTCATGTGTCCGAGCCACGTCCCCCGCAGCTGGTGTGGCCAACGGACGCAGTGGGCGCCCTTCTCACAGGCCCCTGCCCCCGCCCCTCTGAGGAGCTGGGCCACACGCCCTGCTTCCTGTGGCCCAGAGGCCTGCCCCCACTGCCTCACCCCTGCAGTGTTCCCAGCGCTGCCCTCCCCCAGCAGCTGCTGCGCCCAGACCTAAACCAGAGCAATACAGAAGGAGGACGCTTAGGGTCCCCCTTAACAGATGGGGACACCGAAGCCCAAGACCACAGGCCAAGGAAGAGTCCAAGTGCTCGGAATCTAGTGCCCTTTTACTCAGATGCCACAGACCCCTGCTCTGTCAGTCACCGTGGGCCCCTGGACGGGCAAAGACTCGTGACATCACCATCCCTTAGTCTGGGGAGAAAGACACAGAACAGGCAACTGCAGTGTGGTCGGGCAGGGTGCGTCCTAGGGAGCCCCACCGGAGCCAGCTGTCCCCATGCTGACCGCCGGGACCCAAACCAGCCCCGCGTCCGTCGGGCACGAGAAGGTCCAGCTCCATGCAGAAATCATTTCACTGGAAAGGCAAGGGGACAGAGGGAGCCAGGGACTGGTGACTCCCCACATGACCTGGGGGGGTGGGCACGGGACTATGGGGCACAGCTCTGCCGGCTGAGAGCCCAGGCAAACCGGGGCCGAGGCGGGGCTGCAGGGGGGAGGGTCATCCACCTGGGGGGAGCACAGAACAGAGGTCACAGGAAGACCAGCAGCTTCCATTTCATAAACACCTACCCCTGGGTACCCCCACTGGTACCCTCTCTCAGGGTCCAGCAAAGTGGGTGAGGGCACATCCATACTTCACATGGGGAAACTGAGACCCAGAGAAGCTGTCACTGACCCCAGGTCATGCAGGCCGAGGTGTCCGAGCCAGGACTCAGTGCCACTGGTTTCACTTTGTTTCTCCAAACTGTGAGGGGCGCCTGGGTGGCTCAGTGGGTTAAAGCCTCTGCCTTCGGCTCAGGTCATGATCCCAGGGTCCTGGGATCGAGCCCCGCATCGGGCTCTCTGCTCAGCGGGGAGCCTGCTTCCTCCTCTCTCTCTGCCTGCCTCTCTGCCTGCTTGTGATCTCTGTCTGTCAAATAAATGTTTCTCCAAACTGTGAGGGCCAGGCCGAAATAAGTGCCCAGAACAGCGTCCCCTACTGCCCGTAATTTGGGCAACGCATAGAGGGCGCCGAGTGAGCTGTGGGCACTGGGCCGGGCGGGGCTGGGCCAGCTCTGAGGCCATGGCTGCAGCCCGAGCTGGGAACACGGACCCCACAGGAATCAGAGGATGGGGCATCTGGAGTGGGAACCTCAGCATAGGGCAGAGGCTGCTCCCCGCCCCCCTCCCTCAAGCCGGGGTCCCTGCTGAGCTCCGGGATTCTGGCCTTCCTCTTGGGCCTGGGTGATACCTTCCTCATAGGCCAGGTCGAAAGGTAGCAAACGGGCTCCCTCCAGATGACAATACAGGGGTTCAGAGGGGTCAAGGGACTCCCTGGGCCCCACAGCTGGTTTGGGCCGGGGAAGAACCTGGGCCCTCCAGCCTGTTGTGGCCTCTGCGGGGGGCTGACTGGACAGCGGTCAGGGTCAAAGGCCCCCAGCTCCACGCAGCTCCGAGCCCCTGACAGACCATGGTGGTGTGCAGACGCAGCCCTCAGTGCACGCGTTCCGTCTGAGCGCCTGTGAGCCCGGAGAGGTGCGGCTTCCAGACCCGTGTCCTCAGGCCATCCACTGCGGAAGCCTTGCCAGCCACCCCGGGGCCAGGGACACCTCTGAGAGCATCTGCGTGAGCAGCCAGCCCATCCGAGAAGCCCCACAACAATGGGGACGAGATCTGCATGGCGTTTCCAGCTCACAGAGCACTCCTTGTCCTGTCCTCTGCAAAAGGCGTTCCAGACAGACGGAGAAAGGTCATGGCTGGCCAAGGACTCCCTGTGGGACGAGGTCCCAGCTGGGACTCAGCCAAGGTTCTGACGGTGAGCTCTGGTCTTTGTGCGTCTGTCACCTGCAGCCCAGATGTGGAGCTGGTGGTGCTCCCCCAGCCCTGGGACGGGGTCCTGTCCGGACTCCCATGCATGGGAGGAAAAGCATCTGGAGTTCTAGAATGACCCAGCCTGCCGTGGAGGGGCCCCAGCGGCAGGCGCCAGGGTCCTGAGAAGTTGCCGCAGACCTCCTCACTCCTGCCTCCGGCGCTGGCCCAGAGAGGCTGCCTGTCTCCCGCCTGGATGTGCACCCAGAGGCCCAACTGGTACTTCTCTGGGGGCCGAGTCACTTCTGAGCAGCGAGAAACAGCAGCCCCTTACCCACGTCAGACTCGCATTCCACTGAGAAAGCGACGCCTCCCCAGCCTTCAGGGTCCAGCGGCATAAAGGCCACACCACTGAGACACACAGAGTGCTGGTGGTATCTGGAGCCGTGCACGTGTGCACACGGGTGTGCACGTGTGCACGCATGTGTGTGCGTGTATGGGGACATGAGATGGGGTTGCCTCGGTCGGGTCGGGAGGTCAGTGGTTCAAGCCCTGGAACTGTCCGGCAAGAGACAGAAAAAGTACGAGACTCTCACACTGCCTGGTGAGGGTCCTGACCGGGGCTGCCCCCCAGATCTGAGGTCATGTTCGCCTCTGGGATCCCCAAATGAAGATGCCGTCACAAGCGTTCTGAAGGCCCAGGGCAACCCCAGTTCCCTCTCTCATGAGGGTCCAGCCTGGAAGGGAAGGGCCCTGATGTCCGATGCCCTCAGGGTGGGGGGAGGCGGCACGTACCTGGACCTCCCGCGTGTGGTAGGCGATGATCAGGCCCAGGAGGATGATGGTGGACAGACTGATAAGGCATTTCAGGGCCAACGAAAACATGGAGTCCTGCGGGAGAAACGGAAAGAGAATTAGGACAGTCAGGAAGGGGCCAGCCACGGGGCTCTGCAAAGGGAGAGGGGCTCAGGGGCCCGGCCCTAGGGGGCCCCTCGGGCTGAGCATCCCCCCTCCCAGCCTCTGTTTTCCAGAGTTCAAGCCTGTTTGCATTCCTGGGGCTCAGTTCGCAGGCGTTTGGAAGTCTGCCTCCGCGCTCCTAAGTCCTGCGACCGGGACTCCTGCATGCTCTGCTTTTCTACAGTCCGGGACTCAAGCTCTTGCCGGCCTGGACCTCCCTCCCCTCGGAACCTGAACCAGAGGACTCCTGGGCTACTTCCATCTCTGACCGCGCGTGGTTTCCTCGGGCATGAATTAGAATGTCCTGCAGGTGTTCTCCCCACCCAGGTGAACTCGAGCAGGGAGGAAGGCAAGGGTGCAGAGGGGCTGTTGGGGAGCCAAGAGGGGTCTCCCTGCAGAGGGTGAGGCAGGCGGGGTGGCCCCGTGTTCACTGCCTCTTCCAGCCCCAGGCCACTCGTGCTCTGGACACGGCCCCTTCCCAGCTGTGTGACCTCATGCTGTCCGCTCCTCCTCACTCTGTCCCAACTGTCCCCTGTGTCCAGTGGGGATAACGTGAGACCCTGCCTCCCAGGGCCACCGGGAAGAATGAAGGCATGTTTGGAGATGTAACGTCTCCAGACCTATGCCCAGCAGGGTCAGGTGTCCAGGCTGGGGCGCAGTGCCCTGCTGGGCATCGGGAGGCCAGGAGATAGGGACGACCCCGGTCCCCCAGGAAGATGGGGACACCACCTGAGCAGAGCAGCCGGTGGGCCAGGCAGCAGGTCGAGGGCTCAGTCCTGAGACACACAGCCTGGGAGCAACAGCCCCGCGCCCGCGACCAGTGGCTCGTGCCCACACCGATTCCTACAAGGCAGCTTCTGCTGTGCACGGTGGCATCACATGGCTGCTCTCATACGTGCTCATGATGGCCTTTGGCCTCTATCCCAACTGGACGTTACAGGAGGCGGCTCCAGGGGTGAGTGGCTTGGGCCCGGGTTCAAAGCCAAGGTTTCTGACTCGCGCCCAGAGCCCTGCCCTCAGACCCCCGGCTCTCTTGCAATGAGAAAAAGCAGGAGCGAGGTCGGACCCCCGGGAGCAGATCCGAATGGCAGCTCTGGTCGTGGGAGGCGTCTCCCAGCTAGGAGACGCTGAACGGCCAAGTGAGGCCCCGCAGGGCTGGGGAGGGCACCACGGCCGGAGGGGACAGACCACCCTGGACGCTCTCAAAGGCAGAGGGGCAGCAGCTCGGGTCTGCAGGGTTAGGTGGTGGCGTCCAGCTGGGCAAGCTCGGGGGTCGGAGAGGCCCAACCCGCAGTGGCCCTGTGCTCCCCAGCCCTGCCCCTGCAGGCCGAGACAACAAGAACCTCTCCCCGGGTCTGTCACCCCTGCAGGCATCCGGTACAGTTGCTGGCTGGGCCCCTTTGTGCTGGGGACCCGAGGAGAATGAACGCAACCGTGCCTTCCTTCCTGCCCTCCCCCTCCATGACGGTTCAGCCCTTCTCACTGCTGGAGCCCAGAGGGACTAGGGGGTGATCAGGGCGCCCCGCCTGCTGGAAGCTTCCGCCGATCTGGCCTTGCACAGGCCCCAGTCTGGGCGCCGCACAGGCTCCCCAACCAGGAGCCCTCCATCCACACTGCCCTGATGACCGTCTACACCTCAGCCAGCTTCCACGGAGGCTCTGTGGTCCACGCCGCAGTGCAGAGCCAGCGGCCGTTGGATCCGTGCACACACGTGAACAGGGCCTCGGGACGCCCTGGGGAGGGTTCCCGTCTCTGAGAGCAGGACTGGGTGCTGGAAATACCATCCAAGCCTAGAGGTCTGACCTACAGAGGGCTGAACACAGCCCGGACCCGGCCGCTTCAGGACAAAGCGATCATCCTAACAGGGACAACGGGGCCGGCTCTCCCTGCTCTTAAGCCGGAAATGACCCTAACTTCTCCCTCCAAGAGCTCAGAAGGCTTCTGGGGAGCGTCACGCCTCTCTTGGGAAGGCCTCGGGATCAGCTGCACATTTCAACATCTAATTTATTTCTTTTGGCAGAAATGAACTAAAATCCGAATCCAAGTCTATTCCCATCATTTTTAGAGGATGAGGTGGAGGGAAAGGGGCTGCCACCCCTCCTCTGGGCCTCTTCCTTTTGTTCTAAAACTCAAAGCCTTTACATAAGAGGTGCTTTCCACCCGCTCCTTGGTTCTGGTCAGCTCCAGCCCCACGGGGGACGAGCTTTGTCCTGGAGCCACGGGACCCTCTCCTCCCTGCAGACCTCCCGGCATTCTCTGCCATGTGTCCATGAAAAATAAACTATCAACAATTTTTAGTAGCTGGAAAACATGTCAAAGTCTGGCTGGACTAGAAATGTCTTGCAGTTGCTAAAACGTGGAATTTCTGTCTTTTCTTTGCTGCCTCAGCTCCAGCAAAGCTTGAAATCGATACCGTTCTTGGGGGGACAGTCGTGAGCAAGTCAGCTGCGCCCACCCCATAGGGCACCTGCCACCCGCTTTGCTCCATAGGCTCCCACCAGAGGGGCCGAGGGGCTGCTAGGCTGGGAGGGGGTCCCCTCAAGTGCCAGCCCTCTCCTCAGCATCTCGGAGCTCTTCACGACGGAACGGTGACCCCAGCACACAGGAACGCAGAGAAACATCCCCGCAGATGAATCATTTTCAAAGCCATTTATTCCTTAATGCCCAACACTGTCAGAGTGGTTACATACATTCGAGAGTGGCCAGCGATGGGCCACCAGGTAGCCACTTAAAACCATTTCTGTCGAGAGTATGTGAAGAGGAAAAGCCCATGATACCCGGTGAAAAACCCCAACACCAAAGCTGCATAGATGGTCCTTCCACTTACCTTTAATTGTTTTACTTTTTTTAACCTGAAAACGACTGAGACTACAGCATCGCACGATACAGAGCGTTGGGGCACATGGGCTGTCACGAGCCCCCTGCAGCCAGCTGGAGGGAGCCTGCCGCCCCTAGAGCGCCGCACACTACAGGGGCTTGACAAGTGCTTCTGGAACTTTCCCCTCCACCCACCGTGCCCCGGGTGCCCCCACAGACCAGGCCAAGACATCTCCGTTGTGTTGAGAATCAGGGAGACAAGGTGACTTCGCCAAGGTCACACAACTAGCCCAGATTTCGGCCATCTACCGGACTTTCCACCGACCGGTCCTCCCCCGCCACCTGAGACCGCTCCGCCGTTCTCGCGGAGGCTGACCACGGCCATCCATCGGGGCTGTGGCCGAGACTCCTGGGAGGGTGGCGGGGGGCGCTGCCTTCCCGTGAGGGGCCCCTACCCACCGGCGAGCCCTCCACACGCTGTGACCTTTCGCCAAGGACTCCGGCTGGCCCACAGCACCGCGAAGGGCCTGACACGCCTGCTGGGCCCCATCGAGCCACGTTTACAGGGGACCAAACAGACTCTGACACGCTCTTCAACACGGGGAGGCAGGACTCCAGAAGCCAGGGTGCACACCTCTGTGTGCCCCCAGATCCCGTGCCCCGCCCATGCATGGGCACCCCTGCCCCCCCTCCGGCCACGCCCCATGCTCTCCAGTCTCTGCAGCGACGACTCTCAGGGCCGCTCACCCGTCCTGCCCCAGCCTGTGCTCCCCGAGGCTGGGTGGAGGGTGGGGGAGTGTGTCCCCCGTCTCTGCCCAGCCTTGTGGCCTCCACACATGGGGCACAATTGTAGTGGCGAAGGCAGATCTTCCAGAGACGCTGGAGTCCTAAATGTGTTTAACTGTTTGCGACACTCGAAAACAAGAGAAAATCGGAGTCCCGGGGCACGGACATGAGGCTCACCAAGGGAAGAGCGTGCAGGGAACCCCCAGCCGAGCGGACGCCCCCCAAGCGTGCGTACGTGTTCCTGCGTCTGTGGTCGCCCGGTGGTTTCTGTCACCGGCCAGGACCCCGGGGGGGATGTCACCCAACACTTGCATTTGCTGAACTAAGCTCTGCACGCCGCCCTCCAGCCGGGAAACCGTAGCCACAGAAACGCTCTCGTCTATAAGGTCACCTTCCCTCAGCCTCACCGAGAGGCTGTAAACCCGACGGCCGCTCGGTGCCAGCGTGACCTCTGGCTCTGGACCGGCTGTCCTGGTCAGACACACTCCGGACGCGGCGCATGTCGGAACCAGCCCTGGGGCGCAGGAAGCCTGGATTCCTGGGTGCTGCCCTCTGCACCCCTGCCCCTCCCTCGGCTCTCCCGCCCCTGCCCAGGACCTCTCCTTCTGCCCACTCTCCCTGTCCTTCATGGCGGTGCCCTGCGGGGCTCCTGGCCAAGCTCAGGCCCTTCCCCCCAGTGCTCCAGCCGTCCCAGCCCTAGTGTGCCTCCCGTACCAGCGGCTCGAGGCTGCGACAGTGTATCACGACGCTCCCGGGCATCGGCTGTCTGCAGGGCCCAAACTTTCCTTCACTCCTCCGTCCACCCTGCAAGCGTTTCCTGAGTGCTCAGCCATGGCCAGGCCCTGCACTGGGCACCTGTAAAACGCCAGGGGCTCCCCACCTCCTCCACCCCCACCCGCTGAGCAGGGAACCCACCAGGCTGGGGAAGGGGCAGGTGGGGAGGGCCCAGGGAAGCGGGGCTAGGATGCTCAGAAACGGGGAAGAAGCCCCGGGGGGAGGGAAGAGGCCTGCAGGTGGCCCTCTCGGTGACAAGGGGCCCTTGACCCTGACCCTGACCCTATGCCCTGCAGGTGAGGTGAGGAGTGCGGACAGCACCTTCCCCACGGAGAGGCTCTGAGCCGGCTCACGCCCTCACCGACTCTGGGGCGCCTGAGGGATGTTCTCGAGGGGCACAGAGCTGAGGCTGAGGCAGCCACCCTCCCCTCTGGCCCAGATGCCAGCAGCGACACCGTGAGCTGGCTGACGGGGACCAGGAGCAGGGCCCGGACCCGCAACCAGTGGGAGACAGCTTCTCCCTGTCCTCAGTCCTTGGGGGGTTCTGGCTGTTTATG